GGTAAGCTCTCAAGTAAGCGCCTTGTCGAGAGCTTTAAGTTGCTAGTGAGCTGAATCTGGCCTTCCCCAAACGAAAACGTTAACTTTGATGAAAACTCACTACGAAAGATGATGCGATAAGGGCGGTTTTTTTCTTTTTTTTTTTGTCAGCCATTATCTTTAATATAATAGGTAGGCTGCACACAAATCGTTTTTCCTTTTACTGTTTGCATTTATTATAGTCTGAATTTCAGCCGTCTCTCCTCTTTACCCCTTGTGGTAAAGGGAAGAGATGGCTGAAATTCAGACTACATTTATTGTTACTTTTTGTGTGTGTTTATTAAACAAATTGATATTATCCGTATGTTACTCGTATGCCATTCGTACTACTCATGTGAAGTTTTAGCCATGATCAAATCCCGGGGGGGAATCACGGCGGGATTCTTTGCGATATTTCCAGCTTTTTCTCGCGCTATCGCGCAGAATGTCGTCGGGATTCCGTACGGGATTCACACGATAGCGGTCCAGACGAGATTCCCAACCAGATCCCGAGAGAGCTCCCGGTGGCACACCCTTTGTGATACTAGGCGGGACATCCCCCCAAGATCTTTCTGGAAAAGTCAAGCGTGCCCGTTATAACGTGATTTTTCTAGACCTTATGTTTAAAAGAAAACCAAGATCCCGTGGGTTTCCGCTTAATAAGGGCACGAAATTTCCTTGTTGGATGGAAATTAAAATTTTATCCAGATGTCCAGGCCAAGACAGGCCCCGACCGACCTTTCGACCGCTTTTGGAAGTAGACTGGGGAAGAGTTTACTTGCGCGGGAGATTATTTGCATGAAAATGGCGATCAGGTGGGAACGGAACGTAAAAAAAATACATTCACACTAGCAGCATTGTTTTTCTCGCTACCACGCTGGAATCGCTTTCATGGCCGCCAAAGAAAGAAATGAAGTCATCTTAAGTGAAGGCAATGGCCTTCAGAGCACCAAACTGCTCGCTGATAAAGTAAACGCGGTCTGTTATATCGAGACCGCGATCATAGACCCTTCGTCCCGCAAAGAGCGACTAAAGTAAGTTTTCGTTCTATTGTTGTAAATTTCGTTTCCCTAATGGTATTTTCATTACCTTCCTTTATTCACAATACTTTTAAGTTTTGCATATCAATTTTGTCTCGACCCGTTCTCAATTCTAGGCGAGGCACCGGTTTCCTATCCAGACTAACCAAGCTTAAAAGTTTCGCTGAAGTTTATGGTGTGTTCACTAATAATCACGTGTTGGGAACAGAAAACGAAGCTGAAAAAGCTTATGCCACCTTCGGCTATGAAGGATCGAACAAGGGAGAGAAGGTTAAATTAAAACCGGATATAATGTTTCGCACTAACAAGGTTAGTGCACTACGTATGATATAATGCGCATTCCAAATCTTCCTCGTGGCCTCTAGGTAGACCTCAGGCAGTTGAGGCGCAATTTATTATTTAGTTAGAGCTGCCCCTCTCCTCGGCAAGATTTCCGCATAACCTCATACTTCATTATGCATATAATTATTGGATGAAAGAAATCAGGCAAAACAACAGATTACCTTTGGGATTACGGCTTTGTTTTTGATTGGTATATAATTATGGAGCTGTGAGGAAATCTTTCCCTTTCTAGAAATTTGCCTTCCATGGAGTGTCTAAGGTGACTTGGCCTGAAATTACTTTCAGAAAATTTAAAAGCAAATTCAAGATTTGTTAATAACCTGGAAACTTTTTATACCATTCATACATGAAACAAGGGAAAAAATCGTTGTCTCAGGAGGGCTGTTGAAATAAAACAGTTCTAAATAAGGATTTGTGTTAAAAAATATATATAACCAGTTTCTTCCGAGTGAGGCATGAGATTTCACTCAGTGGGTATCACTTTGAGAATATAAACCAGTTTTGTAGTGTGGAAGGTTTGTATATCAGCATGTCATTTGATTTCACAGTATTACTGAAACATTGTTTAAGACAAAATAATCAGGAGTGAGAGGGCCCTAGTCTCAAAGCAGAGAGAGCCTTGAATAAACTAATTGTGGCACCTTCCCTCTGACACATTTCCATTTTGACACAAGGTGAAATTGATGTTTTTGTGTGGAATATGATGATTCAAGTGTTAAGATGTTTGGAAATTATGCTTCCATCATGAGTTGACCCCAGTGTCTTTGGACAAGTTCCTCATTTTCTTCACAAGATTATGAAGAGGCTTCACCATTTCTCTGAAATGTTGTAGGCTATTGATTTGCTGTGCTATCACTTTGTGGGGTGTGTTGTGCTTATGATGTATTTTTTGTCATTGTTAGGACCTTGATTATACATTTGTTGGTGTGAACAAGGAAGATTTTGATGGGTTGAATCTAACAATTGAACCCATACTCGTGGAACCAGAGCCAGAATTGAAAAAGGGGGAGAACGTCATGATAATTCAGCATCCTAAAGGACAGCCCAAGCATTTCTCTCAAGAAAAAATTTTAAATGTAGAGAAACCCTTTGTGTTCTACAAAGCTGATACAGAGAATGGTTCTTCTGGTTCACCTGTACTGACCTCTGAGGGACTGGTACTGATTGCTATACACCACAAAGGAAGTGAAGAGCTGAGTTACAATAAAGGAACATTGACAAGTGAAATTCTGATGCATTTGCAGGAAGGAACGTGTATGTTTCTTATTGCTTTTAACTTTTTCGTTTACCAGTATTGAAATCTTGCTGAAATGCTGGTTATTAGTAGTTGGAAACATCCCCAATGATAGAGGATTTCACTGTTTCTTTACCATCCCAGACTGTGCCAGAATATCAAGAAATTGCAAACACGTGAGCCCCATATTCTGTCAATAGTACACTAAATGTTTGTTTGACTCTAGCCAAGCAATTTAGGATTTGTATAAAATGAAAACTAGTATCAATCGATCACCAACATCCTTGACAGCCCAAACTGAAGCTTTCATACACCCTCAATGAACATGCTGTTCATACTGATAAGAATCTGGAACATGTTGGGAAAACAGAAATAGTTGTGATTTTTCTGATTTTTTTTCTGACCATCCTAAAATAAATAGGAATGTCTCTGATTTTGAGTACATTGGTCATTGAATTCTGGTACCAGCACAACAGTGAAATTTCTGACTGTCTTAATTTGTTCTGACATACCAAAACAAGCCACAATACAGTATGAAACAAATCATCATTAGAGTCAATTTTGATTCTCAGAGCTTAGGGGGCCTCATATGCAGACTGTACTTAATTTATGTCCTGCTAAGAAGGGTGTAGAAAATCCCTAATAGGGTGCTTGCTTGGATATTTGTTGTTACCAAGAGTTTTAGACTGAAACCTAAGTTGATGGAAGTCTATATTAAACTAATATAGAATCATTTTCAAAGAATGGTATTTATGCATGTCCCCTTAAAGCTATTTCTTAGTTCAGGCATATCTTCTGTGATGAATTGAATATACCTAAAAGAAGCAATCCTGAGAGTAACCTTCCTTCCTGTTATTTTTACCTTTGTTTTGAAATTTTTTCATCATTGGCTGGACATTAATGTGCTTTTATTTTCCCTCTTAATATAGATACCAAAAATAGAGGCAGCCTCTCAGACAGTCAGGATAAGGAAATATTTGAAGGTCAGACAACTTTTTTGTAATACAACAATTTCATCCATCATTTCTCCCGTAAGAGACTTTCCTAAGGTTATTTTTAAAATTGTCTGAAGAATTTTATTTTATATCATGACAGATTTTGCTAGCTGTTGATTTTCTTTATACTTGTAAAGAGAAGCTTGGTTTTGATTACTTTTGAGATTCAGATGTTTAACTGATACATCCTGTCATGGAAACTGCGCAATATAAATTCAAAATTTTATTATTTTATTTATTATTTATTTATCTTGTCTGTTTTGTTGGAATATAGTTGATCCCCTGCCCAAAAGGGTAAAGATGAGCCAAGGGAATGATGAAAGTCATGAACAGCCATCAGAAGAAGTCTTGGAGAACTTATCTCAAGACATTGTTTCATTCTGGAAGCCTCTAGGGCGAAAGCTGAAAGTTGTGAACGTCAAACTAGAGGAAATTCAGGGGGACAATATCCAGTATCCTGGAATAAAGGAAAAAGCCTATCAAATGCTTTTAGCATGGATTGACCAAGAGGAGACTGCAACATTTCATCACCTTTCAGGGGCTCTCCAAAGTCTTGGGAAAAACAGACTTGCACACAAATACTGTGGCACATCATGAGTGCATTTTGTGACAGTTATAAAGAGATGTTGAAGTACACAGTCCATTAATTTCAAAGTTGTCTTGTTAAATATCATTTTTTACAAGCATTGCTTTTATGATCTTTAATTAGGTATTTTTGTATTACTTGACTGTAGTTTTCAAAGTGTACATATGACTGTAAATACTGTATTTTAGACATCTTATAGAAAATTTATGACAAAATATTTATTTCACCATCTTTATTAGATATCAAGTTATCTGGTTGGCTAAAGGTTACTTGACTGAATTAACAGTATGCAGGATTCCTGCTACACATGAGCCCTATATATGGTCAGGCCCATCGTTAAAAGTAAAGTTAGCTATATTACATCATTAAAAGTAAAGTTAGCTAAATTACAGGACAAGCGTATTGTGTGTCATGGCCTACATAAATATATTCCATGATATTCATAAAGCCTTAGCTAATGACAAATATTTACTGCCAACCTTAAATTTCTATAATCACTAAAACTTTCAGACGAGTCCAGACGCCCCTCCCCCACTGTCCACTTTAACTTGAAATCGAACCTGGCAGGTCGAATAAACGATTGCGAGTTTGCAAGGTTAACTTGTCTAAATACATGGTATTCCCCACACTCATTCTCTTTTTTCCCACGTTTCGTCAAACTTGGAAGACTCTAATGGAAGACCGCGCGGATTCGTAAGGACACATACAAAGTACTTAAACGGAAAAAAATATTCTTAAGTGGTATTCCGCTTGTCACTTTATTCCCGTACAGTCGTCTCAAACTTTCCAAGAAGCGGAAGGGTCGCGTAAGATAATTGAAAGTGAAATGAAAGTACTGCGACGTGTGCTAGACTTTAGGTGAGTACAGCTTTTTAGAAATATTTCTGATAGTTTAGAGATATTT